AGGCGGTTGGACTTCGATCCTTGTGCTCTGCTGCCGCTGTACGCAACCATCCTTGTACTTCCCCTTCTCTTCATGTTCAACTCCTCCGTCCTCCTCCTCTTCCTCCTCTCTTGTTTCCTCTTTCCTCCTCCTCCTCCTCCTCCTCCTCCTCCTCCGGAGGAGTTGAACATGATGAGGAGGGGAAGGACAAGGACTCTGTCACAGCTAGGGTCGAGGACGCGGATAGAAGTTCAACAACGATGGGGAGGTGCATGCTAAGGAGGTGCTAGGCCATGCAGCTCGAGATCGTCGTGCTGGTGGTAGTTGTTTATTACTAAAAAGCGGAAAAAGCGAAGGAGGAGGCGGAGGGGGACGGGGGGGAGGAGGAGGGGGAGGGAGATAAATCTTGATCAAATCTTGATCACGCCATTTATTCGTGTACCATCTTGCTCCCCCTTGCCCTCCTCCTCCTGCTCTCCTCCCTTCCTCTATCCCCTTCCACCTGCCCCCTTCCCTCCCCTTCCTCCCCCAATCTTCCCCTCCTTCCTTGATCTGTCTCCACCCTCTGAAGTTTATCCTGCAAGGTTTACCCTCCTCTTTCTCTCAATCCTTGTGCTGAGACAATTGCAGTAGTTCCTTCTCCCCAAGGAAACCCTCTCACCCTCTCACCCTCTCAACCCCCCCCCCCTCCCCTTCCTCTTTCGATTCGGCACCCTGTCACCAAACACACTCATTCATCCAACTACTTCCTGCTCCAGCTCCTGCTCCTGCTCCAGCTCCTGCTCCTGCTCCTGCTCCTGCTCCTGCTCCTGCTGCTGCTCCTCCTGCTGCTGCTCCTGCTGCTCCTCCTACTCCTGCTGCTGCTGCTGCTACTCCTACTCCTACTCCTACTCCTGCTGCTCCTCCTCGCTCCTCACAAATCCCGAAAATTCGCGGGAACAGTAGGGAACGAGGGAGGTGAGTGGATGAATCTGAGGGGGTAGGGGTATGTATCATAGGGTACTTGACACTGAAATTCATGGAGTATACAGGGGTAGTGTATCCATATTGTAAATTTTGGAGGTAGGGGTGGTAACCTACGAAAGGCGGCAAATGACGGAGAAGCCTGTTGGTAAGAGGAGGAGGAGGAGGACGAGGAGGACGAGGACGAGGAGGAGATGATTAGCAAGGAAGAGGAGGACGAAGACGACGACGACGAGGAGGAGGACGAGGACGAGGACGAGGACGAGGACGAGGACGAGGACGAGGAGGACGAGGAGGACGAGGAGGACGAGGAGGACGAGGAGGACGAGGAGGACGAGGAGGACGAGGACGAGGAGCAGGAGAAGGGAGAAGAGAAGGACGATACGAAGAACCAGAAGAAGATGGAAAGGAAACGGAGAGAAGGAAGGTGGCCGAGCTAGCACAAAGTACTATGATCACAGTTTGATGACAGTATGATAGTCACTTGTTGACGAGATCCTCTTGCTATCTCAAACTGATCGGTCCACAGCAGAGATCGAGGACGACGACGAGGACGAGGAGGACGACGACTATGTCCCACCTGAGCATGACCCGGAGGAAGTTGAAGAGGAGAGGAAACTCGAGATGATGGATGATGATGAGGACTCTGAGGGCGAAGGTCTTGCGAGCTCTGGAACCTCCGCGGTCCTGACTAGCATGCTGGCAGGAGGCTCGAAGGGGAAGAAAGCTAAAGGCAAGCGAAAGGCCAAGGCACAAACCTCGAGCAGCATAAGCAAGAGGTCTCGAGTTCAGGGAGGAATCTGTCTAAGCGATGAGGAGGACGGCAACAAGGAGCAGGAGCAGGAGCAGGAGCAGGAGCAAGAGCAAGAGCAGGGGAAGCAGGAGCAGGAGGAGGAGACGGAGGAGGAGAAGAAGAGGAAGGAGGAGGAAGCGAAGAAGAAGAGTAGGGTGGATGAGATGTTCGAGGAGATGAAAAGAGAGGAGAGCAAGAGGAGGGAGAAGAAATCGAGCGATCTTTCCTCTTTTATCCAGAACCTCGTCTCGAAGTCAAATGACCCCACCAAGGCAAGCAAGGATGTCGCGTCCATGTTCCCAACGACGGTCAGGAAGGAGAAGACGACTAAAGTGCAGGAGAAAGTTGAGTTTGCAGGAGAGATGGTGATGGTAGAGAGAGAGGTCAAGCAAGATTCTGAGGAGGGGAGGAAAATCTTGAAGAGGAACAACCTGGACGACCTCGTCTCCCGCATCACAGGCAAGAGCAAGGGCATCACGACGCTGTCTAAGACTGAGCATGACTGGAACAAGTTCAAGAAGGACGAGAAGATTGAGGTGCTTGCCTTCCTTCCTTCCGTCCTTCCTCCTCCTCCTGCTTCGCCTCGTCCTCGTCCTCCCCCTCCTGCTCCTCTCCTGCACCTGCTCTTCTCCGCCTCCTGATCCTCCTACCGTCACTCTTAATCCTCCTCCTCCTCCTCATCATCATCATCATCATCATCATCATCATCATCATCATCATCATCATCATCATCATCATCATCATCATCATCTCCATCATCATCATCATCATCATCATCATCATCATCATCATCATCATCATCATCATCATCATCATCATCATCATCATCATCTCCATCATCATCATCATCATCATCTCGCTCGTCCTCCTAGGCTCCTCCTCTGCACCAGCAACATCGCCACCCTCGTCGTCTGATCTTCCTTGCAGGACGAGTTGAACACCTACCGCAAGAACGGATACATCGAAAAGATGAAGTTCTTGAAGCAAACTGACGAGAAGCTTGAAGAAGACCTCAGAAAACAACGGCAGGAGGAGGTCGTGTTTGTGATATTTGTGATATTTGTGATGTTAGTGATGTTTGTGGGTGTTGACCCTGAACTGTACTATCTTGTTTGCTGATTCGGTGGCTTGCATGTTGTGTTCTTCGTTGCAATCGTACAATTATTCTTCTTCTTCTTCTTCTTCTTCTTCTTCTTCTGCTGCTGCTGCTGCTGCTGCTGCTGCTGCTGCTGCTGCTGCTGCTGCTGCTGCTGCTCCCCTTTGTTCTTTTTCGCTGATTGTTTTCCTCAGCGTGAGGCCAGGGCAAAAGCTCAAAACAAGGCTGATCTTGCCAGAGGACCGTGAAGTCAAGTGAAGAAAGACAAGAAAGTAGAGGAGAAGAGAGGAGAGGAGAGGAGATGGTATTCAAGGTTAGAAAAGAAATATTCTAGTGATGAACAACAGACAAGACAGCTTGCCAACAAGCCGGACGAGTGACAAACAACTTTCATCTTCTCTTCTTCATTCTCCTCATCTATTTCACATGTTCTGCTCACACAAGAAAGTTGTGCAGCTCTCTATTCTTCTCCAGCTGCTGGCGCACACTGCCGTCCCCCAGCTGACTTCCAGCTAGCTTGACACCGTCGGATCTCTGCGGACCCTTCCCCTTGGACAGCTGGGCGAGAGGTCAGGAGGGGATACTGAGAAAAGACACTGGAGGAAGAGCAGAAGAAGGGAGGGAGATAGGAAAGGAAGGAGGCCGGAAGACGTGGAGACGGAGGATGGGGAGAGGGAGGAGGCAGTAAGAAAGTAGCAAGGGGAGGGAAGAGAGAGATGATGATTAGTTTGCCCGGGACAAGGGGCGAGGTGGCGGCAGAGGAGGGGGAGGAGGAGGAGGGAGGGGGGGAGGAGGAAGAGGAGGAGGAGGAAGAGGAGGAGGAGGGGTTGCACAGTGATTATCTCCATTGGAAGTTTGCAGCTGAGCCTGCAGGTAAGAAATCAAGAGAGGGAGGAAGAGAGGAAAAGCGAGGGAGGAGAGG